TGGGCCAGAAAAGCTGAAACTTATGTGGAAGCATCCTGGGGTAGTGTAGATTCTAAATTGTTCAAATCATGACCCCCGGGGGTAGGGCGGGGCCACAATAGGAAATACAAGTTTTACATTGAAATATATAGGAAAAATCTTTAAAAATCTTCTTCTCAAGAACCACTGGGCCAGAAAAGCTGAAACTTATGTGGAAGCATCCTCAAGTAGTGTACACTCTAAATTGTTCAAATCATGACCCAGGGGATAGGGCGGGGCCACAATAGGGGGAATCCCAAGTTTTACATTGAAATATATAGGAAAAATCTTTAAAAATCTTCTCAAGAACCACTGGACCAGAAAAACTGAAACTTATGTGGTAGCATCCTGGGGTAGTGTAGATTCTAAATTGTTCAAATCATGGCCCCTGGGGGGAGGGTGGGGCCACAATAGGTATTACAAGGGGGGAGTCTGGTAATGAACAGCATGGCCAAAGTTACTCAGGTGAGCGATGTGGCCCATGGGCCTCTTGTTTCCCTATACATTCACATGATAAACCCTGATAGTGCATTGTGGCCCATCCTACCCCTAGGGGGTCATGGTTTGATTGATTGATTGATTGATTAGGGTTTAACGCTGAGTCGGCTATATTTCAGCCATATTCCGGCGGAAAATTAATTTTATATGACCTGTTATCATGGTTTAAACAAATTTGAATCTACAATACCTGAGGATGTTTCCATATCAATCTGAATAAAGATGGCTTTGTTGTTCTTGTGGAGAAGATTTTTCGATATATATATATCCTATGTAAAACTTTGATCCCCCATTGTGACCCCACCCTACCCCGGGGGTCATGATTTGAACAAACGTACATCTACACTAACTGATGATGCTTCCATATTAATATGACTAATCATGACATTGTTGTTCTTAAGAAGAAGATTTTTGAAGACTTTTTCCTAGATATTCCTATGTAAAACCTTAATCCCCCGTTTTGATCTATCTATTACAAAGAGAAAATTATAGACAGGGTTTTTTTTTTCTGTAGCATGAAAAATAGAGAAAGAGGCAGGGTGGACCTTAAAACGCAGTATAATAAAAGCCCCGCCTTCTGTATTTCAGATATCGTACTATTACAAGGCGAAAATTTTGAACGGGGTTTATTTTCGTAGCATACAAACTAGAGAAAGAGACAAGGCTGACCTTAAAACGCAATATAATAAAAGGTCCGCCCTCTATATTTCAGATATCTTACTATTACAAAGCGAAAATTTTGAACGGGGTTTATTTTTGTAGCATTAAAATTAGAGAAAGAGACAGGGCGGACCTTAAAACGCAATATAATAAAAGGTCCGCCCTCTATATTTCAGATATCTTACTATTACAAGGCGAAAATTTTGAACGGGGTTTAATTTCGTAGCATACAAACTAGAGAAAGAGACAAGGCTGACCTTAAAACGCAATATAATAAAAGGTCCGCTCTCTATATTTCAGATATCTTACTATTACAAGGCGAAAATTTTGAACGGGGTTTATTTTCGTAGCATACAAACTATAGAGAAAGAAACAGGGCGGACCTTAAAACGCAGTATATTTAAAGGTCCGCCATCTATAATTCAGATGTCTTACTGTTAGAAAGAAAACATTTTAGACAAAGTTTATTTCCGTAACATAAAAACTAGTCAAAATGGCAGGGCGGACCTTAAAACGTAGTATAATAAAAGGTCTGCCCTCTATATTTCAGATACCTTACTATTACAAGGTGAAAATTTTGAATAGGGTTTATTTTCGTAGCATACAAACTAGAGAAAGAGGCAGGGCGGACCTTAAAACGCAGTATAATAAAAGGTCCGCCCTCTGTATTTCAGATATCTTACTATTACAAGGCGAATATTTTGAACAGAGTTTATTAAAAGTTATCGTAGCGTAAAAAGAAAAAAAAAACTCGTTAAAATGGCAGGGCGGACCTTAAAACGCAGTATAATAAGAGGTCCGCCCTCTGTTTTTCTTTTTCCCCACATACATGTATCTCACTTACAAAGCAAAAATTATGGAAATGCTGTAAGTTCCTATTGTTTTTTTTTTTTCTTTTTTGGTTCGTGTGTTTTTCCAGGGTAAAAAGATTATTAGGTTTTTAATTTTAGGATGGACGCTAAATTAACTTAGAAAACTCTTGGAATGGCCTAATTGTGCATAAGAATTGCATATATACTACATGTAGTAGTGTACTTTTTTTCATTTAATATGCTGACAAAAAGACAAAACTTCAATGTCAATTAATTATCCACTCTATGTACGTTTGCAGGAGATGTGTCTACTGTATTGTATATCTATATGCAACCATAAACATCTGTCTGAAGGGACCAAGGATATATATTATTATTTAATTAGTAATGTTGATGACGTGCAACAAGAGAACTATAACCCCCCCCCCCCATCACACACACATAAATAAAAAAGAAATAGCCGCTTAAAGTCGTAGAAAATCTAATTTAAACCAAAATCAAAATAAATATAAAAATATTAACAAAAGAACACGACTTGGTGGTGTTTTATGAATTTTTATATCAGTCAGGATCTCAACAGACACTTTCCTTTTTATTTTAGGGGGAAATACATGTCAAGTTGCTCTGTAAAACCCCTCTGTAAATAGTATGGGTGGATAAGATTCTCCCTAGTAATATAAGAAGGTGGAAAAGGAGAAAATTCTGTACTGAAGCGTACTGAGTATTTCCTATGGTGGATAATAAAGCCGGGGTTGTTTCTTCCAAGCTCGCTGCATGTCATTTCCGAAATTTTGCATTGCATTTCCGACATTTTTTGTTTTCATTTTACAATACAATCAACACTAAGTCTAGTAAAAATACAAAGTTTAGTAATAAAATGCAATAATTTCATTAATAAAACATGCAATTTTTGATCACCAAATTTTAATGCCCACTGAATTATATGTGTTTGAAAGCACCGAAAAACAGAATCTCCTCAACTTTGATTACTTTATTCCGTCAAACATAGTTTCTGTATGTCATAAATTCTACCTAAACCTTTCTGATCTCAAATTCAGTCTGATTATCTTGATTTGAAAAGATGAACAAAAATTCACAACTTACACTTAATGTGTCCGAGGATAAAATCGTCATAAGATTCTTTTAAATATAAGCAGAACTTATTATTTGGAAATCAATGAATTATTTTTGATTTATTCTTTAATTTTTTTATAAGGGAAATTTCAATTTTGTTTTCATTGCCGGAAAAGTACTTTATGATGATAAATGTCTGAGATGAAATTTTAAAACGTCAGAAATGAAAACTACAAAATGTAGGGAATGAAATAAACAATATTTAAAAAAAAATCCCGGAAATAAAATCCTATGCTAGGCTCATTTTCCAAAAGGGGAGGGGTCTTTAAACCCAAGCTCGTTTTTCCGGGAAAAAATATTAATGCGGTAGGAAAGTCTACAACATCAGTACTTTTTAAACTATTTGACATGTATCAGCATAATTTTGCTATACCCCACCCACCAAAAATACAACACCATTTATAATCTTTTCCTTTTTTGGGGGAGGGGGGTGTTTTATTGCTTAAAATGTTCAACTCGATTGACTTTGGTTTGATTTTGCCAATTTATGCACATCTTCCTTAACCAGTGTTAACCCCGGGGTGATATCAAGTAGAATGAAATAATCGTTGGTCTTTAACTGGATAAGAAACGATGGTTATAAAAACACGGGAGATATGCAACTTCAAGTTTCGTCAGGTGAGACAATAGGCCTACCCCCCAAAGCACAGACATGTTGTTTTAACAACAACGGGATAGGCTAGTACACCGTAACACAAGTCCCTGTCAAAGTGACCCTTCAATTATTTTATAGTTAGGTACAATATGAATCGTAAGAATTATGCATAATTATTATTAATGATATAATGAAATATCTTTCGAAAGATATGAAAATTCTTTTTGGGAAGTGGAAGTCGAACGTTGTTAGGAAAGAGACTGTGATGAAATGATCATTGTTGGACTTACGAACACCATATACTGAACAATGTGTCAGTGAAGGTATGCGTATTACATATATGTATTTTTTTTTTATTTTGCAATGATAATATTGATATCACTTAAACTATAAAAGACACATGTCGTACATGATTTTCCCATAAGGTAACTCGATCAACAGATCTTTGCATCTTTATATTTTCTGTTTTGTGCACTACCTGGGAGGTATGTACTACGATAAGGAGCAAACAGTTAATCAGTGCTAACATCAAATTTTGAATAATTTTTTGATAGATAATTTGAGGTTTTGTACTGAAAGATATCATAGTATTAGAAATATAATTAATTAAAATTGGCTAACGAAATCCAGCAACTAGCGAGATATCGCAAGACTTGATCCTTTTAGTATATATACAATGTACATACATGTACGTCCCTGGAACTCTATTTTGCTGGGAGGGACACTTTTATAACAACTATACCTTAAATAATTTAAAAAGATTAATAAAGCAAATTAATTTCGAATCAATAAAGGAGAAAAATCTGCATATTAAACCGAAGGCGGACCTTTTATTATAGAGGCAGGCCGGACCTTATATGTTATCGTATTAGGTCCCCTCGGACCTTTAAACGAGGCGGACCAAATATTATGCGACACCGGACCTTTTCTTATAAAAGGCGGACCTTATATGTTATCGTATTAGGTCCCCCCGGACCTTTAAACGAGGCGGACCAAATATTATGCGACAACGGACAGGGCAAAAACTATATACCCCGAATCTTCGATACGGGGCCATAAAATTAATTCTGTAATTAAACTCTCTCTCTTTCTCTCTCTCTCTCTCTCCGTGTAGACTTAACTTGAGTTGGTTACATTTTTAACTTAGCGAAACCTTTTTAACATAACAGAATTTACCGATGACTGCCTTTCGACTGCAGTCGCAGTGGAAAGATTTTTTTTACTGTAATAGCTTGATAAATCTAGAGTTGTTCACATCTTTTACGCTTTTTCAACATATCCAGATGTGTGGACGAGCTGACCTGTAGGAACGAGTGGTTGGCCCAGACTTCTGACCAGGACCGCTGTCTGAAGTATGCAGAGGGCGCTTTACCAGGACAGTACACGTGTCATTTCTGCTGCACAACAGACGGCTGTAACTCGAAAATAGTTCCCGAAGCTAAATATTTCTACAGCACCTCATCTTCGAACATCAATTAATTAAAGAAAACATGTGTAAATTAGAAATAAAATTTTATTGACTGACTGCTGGCCTCTACATTCCTATTTGTTTGTGTATTAGAAATAAAATTTTATTGAATGATACCGCTGGCCTATGGTGGCATATTTCTGCCCCTTGTGTGCAAGTTATTTTTCTATCAAATATGTCGACATGCAAGATAAATATGTTGACATGTAAGATAGTTATGTCAAGATGCAACATAAATATGTTGACATGCAAGAAAATTGCAATCAAATAAGAATTATAAAAGATCTAAAAAAAAATCTCAAATATAGCCCACATGTGACATCCAACATGCAAGATGCTACTTATTTATGTCAACATGCAAGTTATTTATGTTAACATGCGAGATAAATATGTTGGCATGCAAGTTATTTATGTCGACATGCAACTTACATATGTTAACATGCTACTTTTTTATGTCAACATGCAACATATTTATGTCGACATGCAACTTAGTTATGTCGACATGCAACTTGGTTATGTCAACATGCAACTTAGTTATGTTGGCATGCGAGATAAATATGTTGACATGCAACTTAGTTATGTTGACATGCAACTTATTTAAGTCAACATGCAATTTAGTTATGATAACATGCTACTTATTTATGTTGACATGCGGGATAAATATGTTGACATGCAACTTATTTATGTCAACATGCAACTGAGTTATGTTAACATGCTGTATCTGAACAACTCTGAAGTTTTAATATGCATGGTTGTTAGTTTCTGATTTTTGTTATTCCCTTTTCACTTCACATGCTTACATTGTGCTCCGAGAGGAGTTATTTTTCGACAATTTGTATACATTATCTCAATCACCATGGTTTATAGATCATTTTCAATGTGCATTGTGTTTGATTGTTTACCTCAAAATTAATTAGTACCCGGTAGTTTAATAGCATCCAAATTTGCCACATTTCTCTAAAACATTACCTTTTTCAGTTTCATTCAAATTGAATATTATTAATAAATTCATTTTTTCCCCATACATGCATATAATATCTTAATTAAAACCTGATGAGTTCAATGTAAAAAGGGTATTGAAAAACAACTTGCTTTATCAAAAAAAAAAATAACAGGGTGTTTTAATGTACATTTGCTAATTTCAAATTGAAAACAAATATTTGGGACTTTATTAAGACTCTTAACGCAAGTTTCTTGATATTTTATTTAAGTGATCTGTATGATTTATTGTCAGCGATTTTAATTTTTTCCCAATATGGCAACATTTTTTATTTGGTTGCAATAGTTCAATGAGAAAATTGTAAAAAAAAAAAAAAAAACAAAAAAAAAAAAAAACAAAAAAACAAAAAACAAAAACAAAACAAAATCAAACACAAAAGTTAAAGGTTTTTTTTGTATTCCATTTCAGTTAGTCTTGTGATTTATCTTTGTTCAGCAACATTTAATTTTTTTTAAAGAAATCTTAACAACCCTCGTTTGAATTTTCTTAAATCAGTTATGCTTCCAAAATGTTGTCGACCGCATTGAAGCAGTAGCGTATATATATATATATATATATATATATATATATATATATATATATATATATATATATATATATATATATATATATATATATATATAAAATTTTGAAAAAGTAAATATCCAAAAATGAAATTACAAATCGATGTAAGTGCCTGAAGACCCAGGGATGGCTACAAAGTTTTCAGCGAATATGATCGATTTGTGATTTCATTTGGGATATATACTTTTTTAAATATGATCGATTTTCAAAATGATAAGATTTTGAATTAAATGATTAATTTAAATGCAAAAGAAATTATGTGATACATAACTATGAACATTTGTGCGTGCGTGCAGATTCGTTACTACCCAAGACATGTGCAATGAGGCAAGGTTCTGGGTTTTTTTTTCTGTCGGTAAAATTGAAGTTGATTTTAATGATCGAAAATTTATTCAAGCAGATATTGCAGTTTAAATTATTTTCTATAATATGAGGTGGACAACAAAGTATAAATTGCATTTCCTTTGATAAAATGTCCTGGCGATTCAGAAAGGTGACCGTAGACTATAAAACGTTTTAAGGGCCCCTTTCTGCGGCGACCTATAGAAATTAGAGTGTCCTTCCGTCCATCTGTCCGTCCGAGATCTCTTTTAAAGGGTGTGCATTGACCTTGAACTGTTTCAAGATCTAAGGTTAAGGTCATAGCAGAATTGTATATGAAAATTCTTTGTCCGGAGCACACCTTTTCTCCCCTTGGTCCAGTCTGATTCATACTTCCACAGAGTGTCTGTGGTCAAAGGGTGTGCAGTGACATTGAATAATATTTTTCACTTGCTTAATCTTGTACAGAACCAAAAATAAATGGCTTTAGGTAAGGGGTAATGAGACTGAATAAAAGTTTTATGCCAACTGGACAATTTCTAAGTTATAGGTCAAGGTCAAAGCAAAATTCTCTGAAATGCTTTTCATCCTATTGTCCATTATTTGAATGGGGCCCTATGCGATGGCAGACATCTCAATGATTCATGAATTCAGTGAAGTTCTACATGAAACAGTTTAAGAATAAAAGGTATGAAGTGCAGTTAACTAATTTAATATTTTAAACAATAAAAATGGGAATATAAAATGTGACCAAAATCCTTTTTAATGTCAAGTAGGTATGTTCTGAATGAGGGAGAATAGATCTAGAGCTTTTATTATTTACAGGTACATTACCTATGACAGCTTCATTAAAAAGGAACACCTTTTTAATTTTTTACATTGAATTAAAAGTTTGACCTAGTTATCTAAGAAAAAAAATTGCTGACCAAATGCATTCTTTATTCCATAGGAAAATACGCTTTTTTATTTACTCTTACTTCAACACTCAACAGTACTCATAACAATTTTTTGAATTTATTATGATTTTTGACCTTGACGATTAAAGCAGATTTAAAAAAAGAACAATTACTAATATTATGTACTATTAATATATATACTTTACTAGAAATACACATTTGCAATTAAATACACAAAGCCTCGCAAAGATATTATTTCTCATTCCTTTATCAAACAATATTCGGAACATAAAGAAAAATGTACCTCCTTAAAACAAGAGTGAAGTAAATGTATGTAGATACATGTAATTTATAAGCGATCTACATAGTCTGTTATTCGGATAAAGAGTTCTGTTGCTTCTACTCTGTTTGGTGGGTAAACCGTTTTCCATTCTTATTTGAGTACCAATAACTTCAAATTCCATTGAAACACCATTTGCAGGAGGGTAGGCACAATATTCTTGTTCTATGCCATTCAGATTATCAGGTACAGGCATTTTGAAATCTCTTGTTTGGTAAATTTCGGGCTCAAAATACATAACATCTGGTTTTCCAGACTTACAATCTGCATTGCGGTTTCTTCTAATTGTGTGTTCATTCCATAATTGGTAAGAAACAATACCTAGCACACTCCAGATGGACTATGTCGGAGGTGTCAAAAACACCTGAATTATCCATATCCTTAAAGTAATTTATCCAAAAATTGCAACACATTTCTCTTAAACACCGCCAAAATCGCTCTATTCTTGTATTTCTATATGACGATCCATACCTAAAACTTGATAGTCCCTGCAAGGGATCCTGGTGATTCCATCGCAAAGCGTATTGCAAATCTCGAACTATGGAGTTCTCAGTATCCCTGTCTGCGTATACGACTACAGGAACCCCGTTTATTTCTTTGATATAATCTATATAAAATCTGGATATATACTCAGGGTTTTTGTTAGAATTGCAAGCTCTGAGCCAGAGAATACGTCTTGAAAAACCATCAACACATGAATGGAAATTCCGAATGGTTTTAACTTGTCCCAGTCATCTAGATGAACACAAAAATTAGGCCCTTCGTTAATGTACCTTCTACGCTGAAGACGACGTTGTCTACGCCTTATTACAACTTCTGCGTCCAAAACAGTTAATGCAAGACGCACCAATTCACAAGACACATTGAGGTTATGGTCGATTAGCAGACGTCTCCTCATTCCTCTATAGCCTAAGTCACCGCCCGAGCCTGAAAATTCATGTAGAATAGCCGTTACAATGTCCTCCAAGCGTGGCTGGTTGTTTCTTCTCGTCAGATTCATTTCCCTTAAAACTCGGTGAATTTGTCTTGCACTAAGAGCAATGTTATGTTTGCTCGCAAGAAATCCAATGATTTCCTGAATAGTATAACCAGAGTGATAATAAACAGCAATCATTTCATTCCTACTGAGGGGTAGTCCGTCCACAACCAAACGTTGAGCCAGAGCAAGTGTATAGATATTTTCACCCATAGTATTTTTGTCGCTGAAAAAAAAAATGGGAAAGAAATACTTTATACACAATGAATTTTTGTTTTGCTTTCTACATGTGTAAATGTACATCAAACTAAATCATTCTATAAATACACCACGATTTGACTTGTAAGAGTTTATTATGTAAAAAAAAAATGCAATTCAATTAAACTTATGTACATGTAAGATAGCACTGGCGAATTTGGGGGGGGGGGGGGCAGGGGGCCCGGGCTTCCTCTTTTGTGTCCGAAATATACATAAGATTTAATAAATCTTTTTTTTTTTTGGTGTGGTCGTGGGCCCCTACCCCGACCACAAACTGGTCGGGGCCTCCCTTTTCAAGATTCCAGGATCTGCCACTGAAGATAGTGAAGTACTAAAAGTACTATGTTTGATCAAATAATAGCTACATGAAGTACACATATTATTTAAGAATTGGACAATCTGACTAGGGCTGTGTCAATATATCGAATATTCAATACGTATCGATATTCAGGAATGTATCGTATCGAAAAAATAACTTCCAATACGTATCGGACAGGCAGTTTTCCTTATAATTCTGTAAAAAAGTTGGGAATTTCAGTTACCAAAGATTATTTTTAACTGTTTTGAATTAAAACTGGTCAATAATGAAATAAACATTTAGGAGATAGCACATCTTGAATAACTATTACAAAATACAAAGACAACTACATTTTAACATGTTATGTTAGACTCACCCAGTTTTTATCAAATTTATGCATTAAATA